AGGCCAGCAAGGGGGGGCAGTTAGGGGTGACTGGGCCAGCAGGGCAGGGCAGTTGGGGGTGACTGGGCCAGCAGGGCAGGGCAGTTGGGGGCAATCAGGCTGACAGGGGAGTGGTTAGGGGCAATCAGGCAGGCAGGCAGGCAAGCGGTCAGGAGCCAGCAGTCCTGGATTGTGAAAGGGATCCCAGATTGGAGAGGGTGCAGGCTGGGTTGAGGAACACACACCCACTCCCCCCATGCATGAATTTCGTGCATCAGGCCTCTAGTCTATATATATAAAAGGCTAAGTGTCCATCCAACCGGTAGCTATGATGCGCACTGACCACCAGGAGGCAGACACTCAACGTAGGAGCTGCCATGACGCACACTGGCCATTTAAAAATAAATGGCATCACGGACCTGGCGCCGATAAACCAACACTTGGCTTCCCCCAAGGGGACACAGGCCCTGCCACCACCCCAGAGTGATACCCCACCAAATCAAAGCCAATGCTGCCAAGACCCCATGGTGCAAAATGTGGTCCACAACCCAGCCCAGCCCAGAAACGGTCGTTGTGGGCCGGGTAATGATGTCACGTAGCAACACCAGGCTTCCTCTCCCTAGTGACTAGCCTCCTTGGAGTTTCTTCAGCCCAGAAACACTACTTGCTTTATAGCCAGGTGCAAACATTTTACAATTTAACCAAATGTTTGTGAATCCTTTTCCCGTGCCTCATCTCATTTGATTCTCACAGAAGTCCTGGAGTAGGTAGATATGAGACTCGGTGGAATCCTATTTTCTTTTCACTAGCCAGAAAACGGAGATTTAGAAAGTTTAGAAATTTGACCTGACTAAAAAGAAGTAAGAAACGGTGGAACTTGAAAATAACTTCAGGTTTTCTCACTGCACAGAATACAGTCAAACACTGCTACAGATAAATATTTTACCCTTTGTTCTCCTTGCATGATCTACAATAGTAATCTGCTTTGTGTTGCTATTTACTGCTGTGTTGCTGACAATTACCTGAAAGAGAACTTGGGGTGCTTCACTGGGCTGGAAAAAGTTTAGCTAAATCAGAAAGCATGTCTAATTAGTCAAGTTTATTCTATATATAGATAAAAGGCTAAGTTGACTCGCACATGCGCGGTACATATAAAGCTCTCACTGGAGCCAATCACACACATGTGTTTCCATCTGTCATTGTTGATTGTGAATCTGGTTGACATTCTATTATAGAGAAAGGGTGAATAGCGATATTAAAATATTTCTTCTAATTAATTTCCTTTCAATGTGCACGAATTCGTGTACCGGGTCACTAGTTAATAGATAAAACAAGAAACGTACCTAAGTTCATGCTTCAGAAAGTTAACAAGGGGGTGATCATCATTTAAATTATCAAGAGTTGTTAAATAATACTTCATGGAACTCACCCTTAAAGGATAAGAGTTGAAGAGCAGAGGATACAGAGAGATATTCCAGGTATGGCTGACATGGTGAATAAAGCTCCAAAGCCAGGAATGAGTTTGGCCTGTTTGGAGAACATTGCAGAAACTGGCCTATTTGGAACAGACACTGCCCATTGGCAGGAGGTGGCATATAAGATTAGCCAGGTAAGATGAGATCAGATGGAGGAAGACTCTGAAATCCAGGACAAGAAATCTGAACTTTAACGAGCATTCATAAGAAAGAAAAGAACTGCTTTGTTCTTTTTTTGGTTTTTGGTTTGTTTTTTAAGATCATAAAACACTTTGGCAATGTAGACTGGTCCTTTCCCTGCCTTCTAAAATTAGCCCACTGATTTCCCACTACCCAGCTCATATTACACTACCCTTGGTACACAACGATTAATCACTTCTGTGAAGATAATGTCTCTACTCATGTTTGTACTGGCCTCAGGGCTCCAACTGCCTGTCAAACAATTACCTTCACAAGTTCTTCACCTATCCCACATCATTGGTCCACCCTATAAACACTTATTGTCCATCCCATGACATGTGCAAACTAAGAATTTAAAGATGACTCAGTCCATGCCCTCAAGAAACTCCGAGCCTGATGTAGGCAGAAGCCAATAAAATGAACTAATACAATACAGAGTGGTAACTGCTGGAGTAGAGGAATGCTTGAAGTATCCTGAGAGCTGAGGACAATAACATCAGTTTGGAGATCAGGAAAAGATAGAAAACACTTAATTAAGAGAAAGTGTTGACTAAACTGAGTCTTGAAGGAAAAGAAAAGTCAAAGGGTGGGGAGGAGACCTGTAGATAACAGTGATTACCATCAGACTGCAAAGGCTGGGCAGAAACAGCCGTACTCAGAGATTTTTAATCCCATATGGATACATGGTAGAAGTCATCAAGCACCACACCATGAACACCATTCTCTCATGCTAAGAACTTTGTGTTTTAGCATAGCTTAAAAGTTTCAATAAAAAAATCACATTTGTGTTTCTTAAAAAGTGGGAGACGAATTGAAAGGACACCACAAAACTTTTTCTCTTCCTATCATTAACGTACAACAAAAATCTGATGAAGGCTGCTATAACATTCAATTGATCTCCTGTTATCCATTCCTATCTCCAAACTAGGCATAGCGCACATCCTTCAGAAAAAAACCTCCCCTAACTTCACAAACACATTAATCTTTCCTTTCTCAGAACTTCTAAGGAATATCTGTCTGCAGTGCACTGTGTCAGCACCTTACATTTTTGCCTAATTTACATTTAAATTTCTTCTCCCTAACAAGTACATAAGCTCCCTGAGAAAAAAAAGTCATATCTTTTTATATTTGTGTAATACACACACACACACCTACCTTTCTTCATCCAGTAGCACCTAGCAGAGTAACGTACCATTCTAAAACAAGATAATGCCTTTGAACAGAATACATGGTCTCTTTTATCCATGAGTAAAAATATTCTACTATTCCCCATAAATGAGGAACAAAGTAAGATGTATAATTAGGCAAACCTGAGAAAAAAGTTAGTGCAGTGACAGCAGGGAATGTATACAAGGGAACTTTCTGGGAAGAAGAAATTGTTCTAATTTATGATAGGTGTGTGCTACACTGTTGTGCCCATATATTTAAAATATATATGTAAAAATGCTCAAAGTCACTAGTCATCAGAGAGATGCAAATTAAAATGACAATGAGGTTTTACCTCACACCTGTCAAAATGGCTACCATCATAGAAACAGTATGGAGTTTCATCAAAGAATTAAATAGGAACTGCCATTTGACCCAGTGATCCCACTTCTAGGAATATAGCCTAAGAAACCAGAAACACCAATCAGAAAGAATGTATGCACCCCTATGTTCATAGCAGCACAATTTACAATAACTAAGATTTGCTGACAGCCCAAGTGCCCATCAGTAGATGAGTGGATAAAAAAGCTGTGGTACATTTATACCATGGAATACTACGCAGCAGTGAAAAAGAAGGATCTCTTTCCCTTTGAGGCAGCATGGAGGACCTGGAGAGTATCATGCTAAGCAAAATAAGCCAGTCAGAGATAGACAAGTATCACATGATCTCACTCATATGTGGAATCTAATGAACAAAATAAATTGATTAACAAAATAGATCCAGAGACAGGTTGGTGTTAACTCAGTGGTTGAGCGTCAACCTATGAACCAAGAGGTCATGGTTAGATTCCTGGTCAGGGCACATGCTGGGGGTTGTGGGCTTGATCCCCAGTAGCGGGGGTGCAGGAGGCAGATGATTCTCTCTCATCATTGAAGTTTCTATCTCTCCCTTTGAAATCAATTAAAATTTAAAAAGAAAAATAGATCCAGAGATAAACATGGAACTGTCAAATATCAGAGAGAAGGGAGGAAGGGAAGAAATCAACCAAAGAACTTGTATGCATATATATGCATATCCATGGACACACACAGATAACAGTGTGGCAAAGGCCTAGGGGGGGAGGGGCTGGAAGGGGTCAATGGGGGAAAAAGAGGTACATATGTAATACTTTCAACAATAAAGATTTTCTAAAAAATAAAATATATATAACTAAGATCTGTACATTCAATATATTCAACTTTTACCTAAAAACCTATGAAAGAAAGGGATGGGGAGCACAGAGTTATAGATGAAACAAGACTTGAAGAATATTAATGATACTTCTTGGGTAAAGTGTAGGGGGTTTCATTAAATTATTCTGCATCTACTTTTCCAAAAATGTAATGTGTAAAAATTTCCATAATAAAACGTCATACATGTATATATAACTTAAACGGATGAAAAAGCTGCATTAACAAAACTAAAAAGTAACAGAACATTAAATTACTTATTCTCTTAATATGTGAAATAATGTGATATTATAACTTTTAAAGTGGTTTTACTGGCTCTATGATTCTAAGAAATATCTTCTAAGGAAAACCTACTATTGATAGCACAGACAAAAAAAAAAAAAAAAGCTGAGAAGCCACAGGTTCCTTAGACACCAGATAGTAAAATTAACTAGCCCTATTACCAAATATACTCAAAAAAAGCCAGTACAATTTAAAGTTAGAATTCTCTAATCTTCAAACGGTGATGCCAAAAGACAGCGACTAAAAAGGCATTCGTAAGATTTTGGAAGTACAACATCTCCAACGACAGACTCAACACCATTCTGAAGAGTTTTAAAATAATCCAGTCATTTCATCTCAGTAATTTAAACTTTAAGCCTCATTATAGGCTCATACTCTGCATTCTCTTCTCACCGATCAGTTTCTGAAAAAGAATCTCGATCCTCACCTAAAAACACACTTGCACCTGCAGAGCCAAGGGAGGGAGGGAGCCTTGCTCTCGGGTGAGACGCCAGGGCACTCACGGGCCCGCTCCAAGGTGACACCACTTCAGAAGGCAATGGTGCCAAGTGGATCCAGGAGAGTTCGCAGGAACCATTCCCGCAACTTTCAACAGCAACTCCTATGGAGTCGTGCCAAACCTCGTCGGAGTGAACAGCCTCCAGCCTGGCGAGTCCACTCCCAGCCTCACACACACACACACACACACACGCGTGGGGGGGTCCAGAAAGCCAACCCACCGTGTTGGCAGGCGATGAGATGGCAAAACCCAGAACCCCACCCAGAAAGTTGGTCGCAGCAAGGAGGTGGTCCGGGCACGGACACACCGGTTTGCCAGCGGGCGCAGAATATGCACACTCCCGCGGGCGGATAAGGGATCGGCCAGGCCCGCGGGGGCGCGGGGAGCGCCGAGGACGCCGGCGCCGCGGGCACAGCCGGACGCCCTGACATTGGAGCCTGGCAGCGGCCGCGGTCGGCGCTCTCTCCGCCTGACCCCGCGGGGCAAAGGGACCGGTCCGCCCGCCGCCGGGACGGGCGGGAGAGACGCGCCGGAGCGTCCGCTCGGTCCCGGGAAAGCGGCGCGGCCACGGGCCTTCTTACCCGTGCAGGCCGAGGGCGCGGCGCCGCTTGTGGAGCAGGCAGAGCAGCAGGAACGCGGCCCCCGCCAGCGAGGAGTTTCGCGCCGTCAGGTACTTGCTGAAGGCCGCCATGGCACCGCGGGAGCGAGCAGCCGGGCTGGGGGACGCGGCGGAGACTGCCGGAGTGCAGGAAGCGCGGGGGAGACTGGGAGGGGAGGAGCGCGGAGGGAGGGCGGGGCCGGCCGCGCAGGACCGCTCCCTGGCGCGCGCTGCCGCGCCGGAGCCCACCTCGGACTTGGGCTCCGCGGGGGCGCGCGCGGGCACCGCGGAGGCCGGAACCGTCCCGGGCGCTCTCTGCGCACGCTCGGACCCCCGCGGAGTCGCCGGGAACGCGGGCGTGGAGAAACCCCCGCGCTTCCCGCGG